CATCAGAGTCTGGAACTAATTTTCTAATGAATCAGCCTGAAGTGGGCTGAGCAGCATGCCCACAAGCAGTTGTCTCTAATAAGGCCGGGTGATGAACATGCCAAACCTCATAGTCAAATTTGGCCCATCTTTTTGAGCCAGAATAAACTCTGCATTTGCCACCTATGTTGTTGGTGTCTTTGTTTCCAGGAAATCAGTAGACCTGCTTTTGAAAACACCAACTTAATTAAGGGAATAATTCTTTGAAAAAGGTAATGTGGAGAAGTAGAAAGAACACACTTAGGAAGATAGAGATCTGGTTCTACCCAAGAGAATGGGAAACAGTTTCATATTTAGTCTGGTTTGTTGAGCTGAAGAAGATTTTTAAGTCAGGGTCAAATCCATCAGGAAAAGAGTGCTGGGGTAAATCAGTGCTGTTTGCCATGACTGAAGGACAGGGGGGGGTGGTACATATCATGTATTTGCCATCCCTTTTTTTAGTCTCTCCTTTCTCCTCCCACCTATTAACTTATGTTGGACAAGTGATTCAGAATTTTTAAGGCCTTTTATAGTAAAATGGGGAAAATGCCACTTTATTTATCTAAGGGTAAAGTGGCTAGACCAACTGATCTCTTCAGTTGGTCACCAGTCTTTTTCAGCTATGAGATTTAAGATTCAATTTTCCAGTGTAAATCTTACTACTGGCTGGGCTTTAATGGGATTAGTCACTGGTGACTTTTAACAATGGTATGGCTTTCAAAAGGGCAATCACAGTTTTAAAGAGATAGATAATATATCAATTCTTTCTTCATATCTGAAGAACACTGAAGAAGTCTATTAAATTGCTAAATTAATTATAGCCTGTGATCACCAATGTGAACCCAGAATATTATTTAGGAAAAATACAGGAATGTACAAGAGAGCATTCTACGTATCTATGCAGATTTTAAATCTCAAGGAAATAACAATGTGAGAAAATAAATTATTTAATCTCACTACAACCTTGTTTTGAGAAGAAACAGAGATATTTCCTTTATGTGAAATGTTCAATGGAGAACACTTCTCATTGCTTTCAATACCCATGCTCCCTGCAGTAAAAACAAAATAGGCTCAGAGTTGCTTATTACAGATCTACGGCTTACCTGGGATCACAGAGAAATTTGGTTTTCTCTCCTTCTTCTCTCCAGATAAGCCATTCTCGAAAAGAAGGATGTACAAACATACGAGTCATGTCTCTGCGCTTGATTAGAAACATGGAGAGGTTCTCCATTCTCTGCTGAAAGTCCTCCCATTCTAGTGTGCCTTCAATGCTACCAGCATTGATGGCCTGGAAGATATGTTCATCAGTCAGTGGGTGGAGAGAGGCCACTGCAACATTCAGGAGAGGCATCACCCGGTCAAAGGAAGACTGGGTTGGGAACTTCATATTGCACTGGAGCAAATAAACCTCAGAGAGCGAAACAGGAACTACTTTGTAGCTAGAGCTCTTTAACACTAGATAGCCTTTCTCTATGAGATCAAATGTGAGTTTCAGGTATAAATAGGACCCTTGACTAAGGGTCTTAAGATGAGAACTGAGTTTGCCAAATGTAGTATTGTCCATTTTGCCATTAAGTGAAATGTTATTCTGGATCTCTGAGCTGCTGTGTATCCGGTGCAGGATGTAAGCCTGCAGGTCCTGGTCTATGGCTTCATTCTCTTCTAGTCGATCCAAAAAAATCCTATGGAAAGGCAGCAGCTTGGTAATTTCCTAAAACAGATAGAGAGAGATAGACAGGAAGACCTTCAGTTTCCCCTAATTTTTATGATAAACTATGGGGTTAAAAATGTATTCTGAATTTCTGAAATTCTGAATTTCTGAAGAAAAGAAAATATAACCAAGTATTAGTATGTATAGATTAAAACAAATTAGTTGCACAGGAGGAACATTCTTCCTAATATTGAGACTTAAGGTAATTTTATGGTTCCTCATAAAGGATGCTTTAGGAGTGATTTAATGGTCAATATTCTAAATAACATTTCTAAAATAAACAGAAAATGGAGTACCATATAACTTTCCCCCCCCCTCAGTGTAAACTATGGCATAATATCAAAGTAAGAAATGCATAAGAACTCAAAGAATGCCATATAAAAATGTAGCTTTCTAATCTTCCAAATAAAATGATGTATTTTAATACAGACCTTTTGAAGATGCTTTAGCCCAAAGCTGGGAAGCATGGTGCCTTAGTGAGTAGCTTGGACATTATATTGGGGAGAGGTGATAGGGCTTTGTGGTAACTCATGCTCTGGATTTCATCTTCTGTCATCTGCTTACAGACTTTGCTCCTGGAAGTGTCCACTCTATTTCCTGCCATCCATTTCTTCTCTGCTACTGGGTCCTCCCCTCAGCTACAATCCTATATCTCAGTTCCCATTTTTTAGTAAAATTTCACAGTTTTCTCTATGTACTGCATCTAATTTTTCCTTTTCCATTCTCTTCTCCATTTGTTGCAATAAGGTTTCCACACCATCACCTGACTGAAATGGTTAAGGTTATCAATAACCATCACATTGCCAAATCCAATAATCAAGCTGCAGTTTTCATCTTTCTCAACTTCTTGGCAGCAGTATTTGACACAGGAGGTCATACCATTCTCCTTGAGTCACTTCTGCAGCTTGCTACCTTATAGCATGTTCCCTTAACTTTCCTCTTAGCACACTGGCAACTCCTACCCAGGAATTTTTGCTAGTTCCTCTTTCATTTCTCAGTCCTCCCGGGCTCAGGTCTCCATTCTTTTTTCCAGCCACTCACTCCCTAGGACATTTAATTTGGTTCCATAGTTCTAAATTATCTCTATGCAGATAATGCCTTTGTATTTCTACCTTAGTCATCTCTTGTGAGCTCTCCTCTTTTATTTCTGTCTACTAAACATTTACACTTAGATGTTTCATACACCAACTTAATGTGACTAAATCAGAACTGCTGAATTTTTCCCCCTCCACAAAACTTTCCCATGTCAATAAATACTATCATCACAAACTCTACAACCAAATTGTAGGAGGTATCTATGATCTTTCTCCTTTCCAGCATTCATTTATCCAGTTGCTCACCAAAGCCCCATGATTCACACCTGAATTTTCTCTCTTGCTCACATCCACATTTAACCCATAAAATCCCTTTGATTCTTCAAAATTTTATCCAAATATGACTTTACAGGGTCTCCATCATCATCTTTAATCTAAGCCACCATCATCTTTCACCTGTATTTCTGCTTCCATTCTTGATTCCCTACATTTTATTATCTACACAGCCAGCAGCCAAAGAAATCTTTTACAAAAGGTAAATCAGATCTGATCACTCTACAAGGCTCCTTAAAGAGGCCTTTCCTATCTAAATAACTATCATCCCCATTTATTCCTTTATCCTATTTTGTCTTTGTAGCACTAGTACTATAATTTTAACATATGTATATATAATTTTTTACTTGTTTATTGTGTTCCTCACAAGGACATATGCTTTATGAAGGCAGAGAAATTGTCTGTCTTGTTCATTGTTGTACTCTTAGCTCATAGAAAATGTCTCACATACTTGAAGAACTTAAGAAATAATAAATGATCAATACGAGGGCTTGTTTAATACCTATAAATTATTTCACTGTCAGAGCTGAATGAAAATAGTTTTTTAAAATTCTTGGTTGAAGTGAATGAAGTATCTGGGAAGTCTATAAAGACAGTGAAATTTGGACTTTGTAGATTGATATGCATTATACTTTTCCTGTTCTTTGGCACAGCTGAAAGTCATACTTAAAAAGTCTTTTGAAAATTACACATGGCATTATATAAAAATATAAATGAGGAAAACATTTCCTAAGCATAGATTTAATAAAATTAATCAGAGATTGTGTTCCTAGAAGTTTCATCTATTCACCTTTCATCTTTAACAATCAAGTTACTGACTGATAATGATTAAAAAATATGATTTTTATTTGTAAAGATGCATCCTTTAATTCAAATTACTTTGAGATTATAACAAACATCTACAAGATGGTAGCCAGGATTAGAAGTATACTTTTTGATCAAAAAAGGCAGTAAAGCCAATTGGTTAATATATAGGAATGGTACTAAGTGCCTAGGAGGGGGAAAAAGGAGGGAAGCAAGACTATTTTCTGTACATTAGCAATTGTTATGAGGGGGTTATATCAAAATACAGTAAATTCTGCCGAAACCGGTTTGGCTCAGTGATAGAGTGTCGGTCTGCGGACTGAAAGGTCCCGGGTTTGATTCCGGTCAAGGGCATGTACCTTGGTTGCGGGCACATCCCCGGTAAGGGGTGTGCAAGAGGCAGCTGGTCGATGTTTCTCTCATCGATGTTTCTAGCTCTCTATCTCTCTCCCTTCCTCTCTATAAAAAATCAATTAAATATATTTAAAAAAATTAAAAAAATACAGTAAATTCTCACTTAACTTCATCAACAGGTTCTATAGCTTTAAGTGAAACAACATATAACGAAACCAATTTTATCATGCGCTAATTGATACAAGTAAGAGTTAAGTTCATACGGCATCTCATCAGTGTTGTAGTGAAACAACACTGAACAAAACGTTATTCAAGGATCTGCGACAGGTGTATAATATATAAGATTTTAGTGTTCATCAAAATATTTTAATGTTTATAAAAAAGACAGCTTATTAGGGGAAAAATGTTGAGAAATCCTGTTGCAAACCAAGTGTGAATAAGAATGGGAGATACCAAATCAGCAACAATGAGAATGGCAGAGAAGGTGGGGTCATTTATCCTTCAACCATATGTCTTTACAGGCTCAATTCCACATTCCTAGTCCTTCGCCCGGGCCATTAATGAGCAGGAAAGGTAATTAAAAATAAACCTTATCTTGTAATTGTAGTAAATTTAACCTCAAACCTTAATTAATATTGCCAATAGTTCTTAGACGAAGGCACATAGAAGTCCACCATCATGGCATAGAAAAGTTGTTCAAGTAGAAGCAGAGGGAGGAACTAGAATATCTGATTTTAGATTATAGATTGTACAACTTTAGCATGGCATTAAATAATAAAAAAATATAAAACATTCTCATGTGCTATACAAATAGTTGAAGGTTAATTGGCAGTATAACTAAGTAGTAATGCTGCCAGTCTTCTTCAGACAAACAGTAAAAAAAAAATTTAAAAAATGACAAGCAGTAAATTAGAGTGTTAGGAATTCTATTTGCATTGCTGTTTGTCCTCAGTATAATGTCTAGAAAAATGGACACTTTCTTTTCATGCTATTTTGAAGGACACTTTATCAAAACTTACCCATAGCAATAGGAATGAGAATCTGAGCTAAGAGAGTCATATATAGAGAATGTGCTCTCTAAATCTTATGTCTTACTCTCAAAATAGGCCCTTAGAGACATGGAAGAGGTTTAGTAAATCTCATTACTAAAGGAACAAGGACCTAGGATTTTTTTCAGTTTAAGTACTCTCTAAGGGAAATAATTTATGTTCCAAAGCAAACACATACCTGTAAACTGGTCCTAACTGTTACAATTAGTTTGAGCCAGGAAGGAAATTTTCCAATCATTTTACTCAGAAATGATACAATTGTGTCCCCGTAATCCGGTTTGTGAAATTCTGCTTCATTTAATCCATCAATTAAGATGATGAAATCTTCATCTGGAATTTTTCTCTCTGAGGTAGAAAGAAACAAATTACTTAATAATTACCAAGTGGGTAAGTGAATTCTTTATGGGTCTTTGATTAGATAACTGGTTGGGGCAAAAAATACTAATAAAAGGTCTTTCATTTGTTTACTAAGTGCTCAGAGTACATAATTTGTTAAAAGAGAATAATTCGTGTAGTAAATTCATTTTGTTTTCATCAGGTGTAAAAGCTTTTGTCACATATATATTAAATATATGTATTATCATCATTTTCCCCATGTTATCAGATGTGAGATAATCTGAGCATTACATTATGACAATCTGCACATGGTAATTCATGTTCCTTTGGGAATTAAAAAAAAGGAGGTTTAATTTGAAGTCCAAATCAGTATAAAGGACTACATGTGAATGTGTAGTGAGAAGGGATGGGGGAACAGAGAAAAGGAATCCCAACCAATAGACAGATTTTAACCAGGCAGGTTGGATCACAAACTTTTATAGAACTAATAGCCTCCTAGACTATCCCTAAAATAGCTCCTATGGGATTAGATTCTTCTGTGATCTTCCCAAGGGATCTTCACATGAAGTCTGCCATGCTTAGGTTCAGTTCCCTCCTGAACTCTATTCTATCTTAAATTGACAAAATCAGTTTATCCTTAGGGCTAGGCTGAAGAAGAAGGCTTGGTACAATTTCAGGCTTCTACTCTCATTAAATGCTTACTGATTTACTACATTGAATAAATAAAAATCCCCAGGTTGAATCAACATTTTAGTACAAATGAGTTGAGTAACAAGTAAAGGTTACTAGTTACAGTAATAGGACCTTACAGATTCTGAGGGAAGAAGGCAGGGGAAGAGAGAAAGAAGAAGTCACTGGATGCCTGAAGTAGGAAACAGGTTCTATCAAGGAGGAAAAAGATGGAGCTGGGGGTAAAAGGAAAGCTCTATGGATTTGTGTATAAGATTGTCTATGTTAGCCTTTAAAAGAGTCAAGACCAAATGACAGTGTATACATATTTTGGTTTCACATTTGAAAAGATGTACATTTTTCTGCATGGTTAATAAAACTTTATATTTCCTCCCTAAAGTACAAGCTTTATATAAAGGAATTTAATTTCAATATCCTAAGCACTAGAAGTCAGTTTTCAAATTATGAAAAGGTTTTACTATTACTTCATCTGGTGACATTTTAGGAAGAGAAATAAACTAGGATCCTAGCTCTTACTATTAACAATGAACATTAATAAAACAGCATTCTATATGATGTAGTCTGAGAAAGCACATTATTCCTTTGGGGAGACCAAAGCATTAAGGAAGAGAGGAGGTGCTTGGCACTAATTGGGATTTACCTGCACCACTTGGGGCTCTTATGTTCTTGGCTTTGAGGACGTTGGCTCTCTTAAGTGTAATTGTGCCTTTAATTTCCATAGAGGGATTTTCTAGTTGCATTCTGCTGGTCAGATATAATAGACCTATCCCTTGTTACTGAACACCATCACCTGACCCCACCCAGTGGTGCACTGGAGCCATCCTGACTGGTTCTGTAACACACTGCAGGTAAACTGTAATATTTTCAAGAGCTGGCACCCTAAAATAGGCAAGGTAGGAATATTTATTTACACAATGGAAACTGGCAATTGTTACAAGCCCTCCTTGTGCAGTTGGTTGTTAAAAATTTACCAGCAACATCACTGTCTCCACTGCTTCAATTACACTTCCTTTAACTTCACCAGGCTCCTTCATAAGAAAACCATGATTTTTAAGTGGAAAAAAAGATCTGATGATAATATACTCGAGATTTTCTTTGGGAAAAACATTTCAAACACATTCTCAAGCATAAGATCAAGAACTTGCTTTAAATTATGATGTAGATGTTTTAATGAACAAAACAATTCAATGTCTAATAAAATTAAATTTTTATTTGCATAAATCACTAGTAGATATCATTCATTCCATGAGGAAAGTAAATAATACATCATTTCTTAAAAAAAGAATAATTATTTTATTCTAAAGCTTGACTTTTTTTGAGATCCTTTTCTTTTGAAGGAGTTACTTAGAATTCACCTATTAAGTCAGTTGCTATTAGGTGTCAAAATATTTCCCCTGTTAATAAATAAGAATGGCATGTTTAATGCAAAAGAATGAAACTGGATCACCAACTTACACCATACACAAAAATAAACTCAAAATGGATACAGGACTTAAACATAAGACGGGAAACCATAAAAATACTAGAGGCATCCATATGCAGCAAAATCTCAGACATATGCCAAAAGAACTTCTTCACTGATACTTCCCCAAAGGCAATGGAAGCTAAAGAGAAAATAAACAAATGGAACTACATAAAAATAAAAAGCTTTTTTACAGCAAAGGAAACCATCAACAAAACAACAAGAAAGCCCTCTGTATGGGAGAACATAGCAAATCAAAACAACAATGCGGTACCATCTCACACCTGTCAGAATGGCCAACACAACAAATCAACAAACAACAAGTGTTGGTGAGGTTGCAGAGAAAAAGGAACCCTCGTGCACTGCTGGTGGGAATGTAGACTGGTGCAACCACTGTGGAGAACAGTATGGAGCTTTCTCAAAAAACTGAAAATGGAACTCCCATTTGACCCAGTAATCCCACTCCTAGGAATATATCCCAAGAAGCTAGAAACATCAATCAGAAAGGATATATGCACCCCTATGTTCATAGCAGCACAATTTACAATAGCTAGGATTTGGAAACAGCCTAGGTGCCCATCAGCAGATGATTGGATCCAAAAACTATGGTACATTTACACAATGGAATACTATGCTGCCATAAAAAAGAAAAAATTCTCATTGTTTGCAGCAACCTGGATGGAATTGGAGAACATCATGCTGAGTGAAACAAGCTAATCAATGAAAGAGAGATTCCACATGACCTCACTTATTTATGGATGATAAAGAATATTATAAACTGAAGAACCAAAAGGTAGATATAGAGACAGTAAAGCAGCAAGCAGACTGTCAAATTACAGCGGGGAGGTTGGGGAGATCTGGGGGAGATCAGAGATCAACCGAAGGACTTGTATACATGCATATAAGTACAACCAATGGACACAAAACTCTGGGGAGGGAGGGTAGAAATGGGAGGGGGGGGCAAGGGTATATGTACAAAAATAATAATTTAATAAAAAAATATGTGAAAAAAAATATATAAAAAAGCGAGAGAAAAAAGAATGGCATGTTTATCTAAAACTATATATTTTTAAGATTCAGATAAACAAAGCAAAGAATTTTCAAATTATACTAATATTGCAAAACATTGAGAATTATTCCTAAATATCCTTTTTCTTTGCTAAATGATGAAGTTTTCAATTATCAACTTAAAAGGTAAGACTGAGGATCTTTAGACTGTCTTTCAAATGCAACCAGCTTTATAAGAATGTTCCTACATGTTCATTTTCAAAGCTTTGTAGGTTATTAAAAACATACTCTAACTCAGTAGCTTTTAAAAGATTTTACAAATGAAAATTTTAAAAATTGCTACTTATATATTTAAATGTAAGAACATTTAAAGTACAACTACTATCCACTATCACCATTATTTCACAGAATAAAACAATATTTTAACATTATAAAAGTAAGAGAGACATAATCTATCTAAACTTTACAAATATGCACATGCAAACCTACATCTATATTTATAGGTGTTTCTTTTCTTTTTAAAAAATTTATTTTTATTTATTTTAGAGAGGATGGGAAAGGGAGAGAGATAAAAATATCAATGATAACTCCTGTTTGGCTCAATGGATAAGAGTGTCAGCCTGTGGACTGAAGGGTCCCAGGTTCGATTTTGGTCAAGGGCACATGCCCAGGTTGCAGGGTCAATCTCCAGTGGGGAATGTGCAGGAGGCAGCCAATCAGTGATACTCTCTCATCATTGATGTTTCTCTCTCTCTCTCTCTCTCTCTCTCTCTCTCTCTCTCTCTCTCTCTTTCTCTCTCTCCCCCCCCTTCCTCTCTGAAATCAATACAAATATTAAAAAAAATATCAATGATAAGAGAGAATCATTGATCAGCTGCCTCCTGCATGTTCCCTAATGGGGGTTTAGCCCCAACCCGGCATGTGCCCTGACTGGTAACTGAACTGGGACCTCCTGCTTTTAGGTTGATGTTCAACCACTGAGCCACCTCCAGCCAGACTTTTTTTTTTTTTTTAATGGAATCTATGGGGGTGACATTAGTCCACAAAACCATACAGGTTTCAAGTAGGCTGTTTCTAATTTCTTATTTTGCCATGGACTAATGAAAACCTCAAATGGACTGGTTCATAGGAATCACTGTTCTAGCCTGACAAGTCTTTGGAAAGGTTTTCTAAAGCCGTTAATCCTTGTTTTTAATCCCTTGTAAATAATATATATTCACCAGGGATTCCTCTCTGCCCTCACATGTGTGTTTAACAAAAACTTTCTTCCTTATTAGTCTCATTGTAAGACTCTACTTAGGTACCTGAGAGAAATAAGAATTATAGAA